CTTTAGATATCATCTTACAGTCAAATAGGGAAATAGACCTGTGTGATTTCTTCTCATCCTAAATCGAACTGTTCCAATGAAGAACATTCGTGGACAAACACCATTATCAAAACAAGGAGGCACTTTATTTCTGACCATGAAAAGGTAAGAGATTGAGTCATGAAGTTTTGAGGCACATCATAAAACAACACCCAAAGCTCTGATCTAATGGAGCATGACATTCACATTCACCTAAACCTGGTAAGAATAAAGATTAATCAGAGAGGAAATCACAGAACAGTGGAAAAAAGTAGGCCATAAAGTTTCCTGTTTGCCACCAGCCATGTTGAGACAAAGCAATCATGAAAATGTTCTCGTAAATGGCAGCATAATGCTGTGGGGATGGATATCCATGATAATAATAATGGATATGCATAGCCTAGTAAACTAGCCTCACCCGCCAGCGGCCAAAATAATTTTTTCCTGCGAGTGGTCTAGCCTTGTTTAATGCCCCAAACCCTAGAACTGGCAGGCCAATCACAACGCAGAGTGTGTTTTGAATTTCTGGATGCAAAGTGGGCGGGGTTTTTAGGGCGTGATGAAAAAGCTGTGTGAAGCTGGAGAAAGCACAAGAAGGAAGGTGGCCAAAACTATTGAACAGTTCTCATTTGACTCAGCTTTGGAATCACATTTGGAAGGATTAGACTTGGGTTTTTTGTTGAAACGTGAGCAGGAAGATGCTCTATGCTCATTCATTTTTAAGAAGGACGTATTCGCCTTTTTACCGACAGGCTGTTTGTTTACACTCCCCCACCAGCTTTCTGTCACGATTACTAAGTCACAGTCAGTTGCACTCATTGGTCAGAACGTTGACCAATAGGCACAGACATGGTTTGAAAAACAAAGGGTTGTTCTCATCAACACTCTTCCGATGTCTCATTCATCTGGGCCACACTAAATTACGCATTTAATATGCAGGTATTTATGTTAGACCTAAACCCAATCTAGCTGAAAGACTCAAATGTTCATGTTAAAAAAAAACTCAAACTCAACTCAAACTGACTTGAGCTAGATAATGTTTTTTAAAAGAAAGGACAGAAATTTCAGTTGGATAAACTCCAAAGCTGCTGGATTTGCAATGATAACTTCTGGAAAATGCTGTTTTTAAAGTATTGACTTAGGGGGGTGGACACAAACTCTTTTAAACAAATATGCTATGGCATTGAAATATGTTGACTTTTATAGTTGTTACATGTGAAAATGGGAAAAAAACAGAAGGCATTAAGATTTTTCAAGTTACAGCATTTCAGGTGGCATCTTATAGTTAGAACAGCAATGGTCCCTAGTCGCATCATCCTGGTGATTTTATTAGCACAGTCCACATCTGGAACAGCAATTCCTTCAGGTAGAGATCAAAAACAAAAGCATAAGTTTTACCGATACAGCAAAACGGCAATCACTGTTTATATGTGCCAAAAGAATTCTTCTGTTTCAAGATGAAGGGATTCCTGTCACCTATATGTGTGTGTTGGCAGGTAATAAATCCGTCTGGCCGAGTTAATGTAGATCCAAACCTCATCTTTGGAATTCAGTGATTCAACACAATGCCTCTCTAAACAATCTTTTGAACAAATTGAATGGCTGAAGGGAGCTCCAGTGATATGCCACAGATCAAGATACGATGTCTTCATCCCTGTGAAATTGGAAATGGCAGGGGTCGCTGATGAAGTTTCATCTTCATGATTTCACGTGGGAGGCTTAGCTGAGCCCAAGCTTCTGTATCTTTCAAATGCATGGTTGTCTGTTTTGATACCCTTCAGTGAACAAACTGGAAAAAGTGTCTGAATCGTCTTGGGTTGTTTTGTGCACATTGAAACAGACATCCTCATTCAGTGGCCAGATATTAAACTATTAAGGCCTGTTCTACCCTTAATGTGTAAAAAATGAGATGCAAGATCAACCACCCTTACAGAAAAATTTGTGACATACGAAGAGCCGAGTCTAAGTATTTAGGCTTCAATTTATAATGCCCTTCCTTATGTACTGTATGCTCAATATAAACATTTACATGTTTGACCATTACAAAGACTATTAATGTATGGGTGCTTTAAAATGCCAAACTGAGGCAGAGGAAAAAAAAAAATTTCCTTAAATTAAGCTCTGGCACCATTTTAGAGGCATTCCAAGCTAAAAGGGTGTTCCACAGAGGAGCAGCACAGCTAAAGCAAAGCCCCAGTTTCCCTAAAGCCATTCTACATGGGAACACTGAGATGGTCTGCTAAGCTGAGATATAGAAAGGGCACATTCTTCAGTTCAGTTGGACTCACATTTACCCCTCTGCTCATAAACATGTTGTGGCAAACCACAAGGAGAACTTTTAAAACATTCATTAAAGGTACTAAAATATTAACAAATGAACACAGTCCTTAGTGCCACTTTAGAAGTGGGGTCAGGCGCCAAGGGACCGCCAGCCCTGACCCGCTAAACTGAATTCAACAGTGAGACAGACATTGGAAGTGGGGCCACTTGAGTGTGAAGAGCCATCTTATCGGCGAGCTGAAGTGTTGTTCCTCCAGCTTTGAGACTGACACTTGAGGTATGGCTCACTGGCTGACCTGCAACCAAAACCAATCAGAGGCAGAGACGGGGAACAAAGTGCTATCACAGCGATATGCAGCTGTTTTGATAAGGGGCTGTCTGTTGCACCCCCTTTAGTTTGTTGGGGTGGGGGGTGGGGGGGTGGGTGGGGGTGGTGGTTGCTGCAATATCAGCAGAGGGTTATGAGAACGCCTGGAGGGCAGCGCGGCACGGTTCAATTCCATGTGCTCTGCAATCTCAGAGCTTTCAGGCTTACTAAATCAATTACACAGGGTTGTGGAGCCTGTTCCTCTCTCACTCTTAATACCCATAATACCCATTGTTTCTCTATACTTCCAGGGGAAGACCGAACACAGAATTCCTGCTAAGTGGATGGCTTTGTACTTCATGTGAATAACTCTTCAGCTGCTTGTATAAATCTTGAATCTCGATACAGTCATGGGAGGATAGACTATAGCAATCTGCACAAGTCATAAAAAAAAAATCCACATGTTAAACTTGAAGTCTTTTGTCTTGAGCACACAGTGTTTCAACATCTCATGAAATAAGGACAAATTTTTGCTTTTCAAAAAAACCATGCCCAGGAGGAAGTTTATGGTTTGGAACGAGAGTACTGAGAGAGAAACAGAAGAGCCTAACACCAGCAACACAATTTTAGGGTCATATACTGAGCGAACAGAACAGGAGCATCGAAAGAAGCTTTCTGAGGATGTAAAACACTTGAACATCACTGACAATTTTGGGATGAAACACCAAAAACCAGAAAATAGTTTCAAGAATTGCATTATTGGTTTATACACAGCAAAGCCCACATATATTCATACCCATGAGAAATGTTGATTTGAAATTATTCTAATTGGGCCAATAAGTTTGTTTTCTGATATGAACTGGTATAGAATTGCCTTAAAAGATAATGAAATAGAGTAAAATAAAAATAAACAATTAAATACCCAATTTATTAAGAGTTTATAATTAAATTGCATGTCAACCATAATTTCTCTCCTCTCAGTCATCACTGGAAACTTATTACTTTGTGATGCTACATTTAAACCATTCTGGTAATTGCTGATCATCTTTTGTTTATTCTTTTTTTTCCTGAGTTAGGAGCTCAAAGTCTAAGGTTAGAGAGAGAACTTATTCAAAACCAAACTAATCTTTACCTTTTTTTTTTTTTTTTTTTTTTTTTTTTTTTGCATATTTTATATCAGATTCAAGTCTGGCTACTGGCCGGATCACTAAAGAATACATACGCTTCTTGTCAAATAAATATTGTTCAACTTGGAGATTATTTCTGGAGTGCTTGTGGCTAACAGAGCAAATTTCTGAAGGTCGGTACTATTAGTATTCAATGCAGCCGCAGCAGTTTCCAGAATTAGCTTCACAATCAATAACTACAACTTAGGGAATTATCTGTTGCCAATTTTGAACAAACTTTACAGTTTCATAATTTGTTGTTTGGTTTCAGTAAAACAATATTTGAAAAACTGAATGAATTATACACCAACAGTAGGAGAAAGAGTGTCAAATAATTCCTGCTTTGTGTTTGGTTGATTAATTCTCGCCTGTGACATTTTCGTCTTCATTTATAAGGCAGTAACAGTGCACAGCAATGGGATTAGGAGAGCTGAGCAGAGGGGCTCAGGGATAAATGACGCACAAAGCAATGCGGAGCAAAGCCAGAGTTCCTTGTGAAACATTAGTTCACGCTGCAGTTAAATTTTCTCCTTTCAGTTTTCGACTATGAGCATCGTTATGTTTTATGTTAAAGCACCTCCACCTGCAGCCTCACCTTACCAACTTTCTATGCCAAAAAAGTGAATACTGTTATTAGTTAATGAGGATAATATGGTGGCGCATCTTTCGGCGCCTATATGACAATCTGCCCTGGTATTGTCTCACGTTTGACTGCAATACAGGGGGGATTCTCTCTGGTATGCTCAATAAACTCATAGAGGACTGGTCTTAGCGTGCTTGGCACGCGACAAAACGCGCGACAGCAATGCACAGAGTTGATTAAAAAAAAAAAACGATGACTGAAACTGAAACCAGTGGGACCATTTAAACATTAAGGAAAAGTTAAGCGGAAGCAATTAGCAAGGTTTTACATTTTATACATAGGGATGCTTTTATAACATTTCCAAAGCTAATCAAAGCCTCATTATTCAGCTAAAAACAATTTTACGCACAGATCCATTCATGTTATGCTCGCGCATCTGGGCGTGCTTTGCCTAACTCATTTTATTTTTTTTTCTGCTTTAAAATCCACCAAGTACTTCTGTTTTATTCACATTTATCAATCGATGCAATAAAGGCAATGATTTCATGAAGTAACTATTTATTCCAATAATCCAACCAATTCAATGTACTGTAACCATAACGCGCGGCTTCCCATGCGCACAAGCACAATAACCAACGAAGCTCACCTGCAGGACACGGTGATCTCCACCTTGGTGGCAGGGATGCTTCCACTTATGGGGTCGAAGTCACAGACCGTCGCCGTGGCCTCTACCTTGTCCATTACGTCCCCCTCCATGTGCGCGGGAGACTCGGGCCAGCTCCTGTGGCCGTGTGAGTGAGTCCTGTTGGACTTGGAGAGCCGAGGGTGGAGAACCGAACCGCGGCAGCTGAGTGAGCAGGAGAGAACCCAGTCCAGAAAAACCTCCCGAATGCTGTCCACTGGACGGGCAACAGCATGGAAAGTTAAGTGAAGGCAGCGGTAACAGGGGAAGTGATGCGACTGGTTTAAATCAGCATGGGATCAAATGCCAGGACCTATCAACCCAACTCTGTAGACTGAGCCTCTTCTGTCTGAGACTGAGGCGCTTTGAAAAGTAAATGCAGTGAACTCCACCCCTCCTGCCTGCATTCTCCAGCTGTAGCCTACATGTAGAGCTGTGGCTGTCTCTGATTTATGGCGGACTGTTCTTAATTTTGGTCTGAATTAGTCGGAAGAGCCCGCTAAAGAAAAAACATTTTAAAAAAAGATTAATATATCTACAGCCCGTGTCAGTTCAGAAATTGTCAGTTTTTTTTCATCGGCTTTCGAGTGCGCGGTAATAAATAAAATAGACTAGAGATTTTCTAAGAATAAACCCATCTTTCGTGTGTAATTACCGATGTAGGGTTCTTTGATAATGATCACCCTTTCAGATGATAAAATCGGTCCTTCTGTAAGCCGCTCCTAAAATGAACTGTGTGGCTGCTGTGTTCTTTCAGCACCTGGACAGCTCCTTAAACCACTGCGGCTCCAGCCTTCGACAGCTTTCCTGATTAAATAACCTGGAGGGGTGAGAAAGATTGCAACCTGCTCCAAGAGTAATTCAAATCCAAACTACCAGAGGGAAGTGTGTTCCTGCATATGTATAAAGTGAGACCGCTTCTATCAGAATTTACTTGACTGACTGAGGAAACATTTCTTACAGCGTTACACTGATCTAAAATCTACAAAGATCATACAAGTATCATCAAGACTATAATTCAAAGCTTCGTCTAAGTAAATCTGAGAGACATTGATAATTCATTTCCCACTAAATTCTTTTAAAAATAGAACATAATGGACTTATAAAGCTATTTTTATTACATACAGTCCTATGTTACAGCCATGCCGTTTTGCAAAAGACTGCTGACTAGACACTTGCAAAGCAGCAGTTATTGACACAAACGTAATTGCAAAAGAAGCTATTGGTTTAAGGAGTGGTATATTAAGGCATTTTAAGAAACTGTTACAGGGGAAGTTGCTGCCTTTAAAGAGTAGAGCCAACGCCATTTTGGGAATGAGAGTAGATCTCAAGATGTACATTCTGGCTGGATTCAGAGTTTTAAAATCCTCTTCATACATATCTACCCAGGCCATGAGCAAGAGATTCATATTTTTGTTTTGAGCTCCTCCTTAACAATAGAAAACATGAGAATTTTCTTGCCAGTGATAAGAAGTGAAGTGACAATACTGGAGCTCAATGGAACAAGTCTACTTTTAGATCAAATAACCAGGACATTTTAGAGCATTTTATGCTTCTTGTATTTTATGCCGATGTCAGGTTCTTGCAGGACCTGGCACCTGCCAACACTAACAAAGCTACCAAAAGCTGGTTCAATCTGAAAAACACACATAAAGAGAAAAGACAATTGGGAGAAATTTATTGATACAATTACTTTGCCTTTGGCGCTCAGACCTCGGCAGGAAACATAGCACTTAATTTGATAGATATGCATGAACAGGAGCAAAGAATGTTTCCCCCTAGGCCTGAAACTGGTGGTGGAGTGGAGAGAGATGAAGTTGGTCAGTCTGTAGACTGCTGGTTAGCGAGACGGTCTGCTGAGCTTTATTGGGAGATCCATTGAATTAAGTGAGCTGATACTAGAGCTTCACTCAGGGACCTGGAAGATGGATGTCCAGTTGGATAACACAGGTTGAGAGAACCTGTCCATGATGAGCAAGCATGAAGCGACAGTGAAGAGGCAAAACTCCCCGTTGGGAAGAAACCTCTGGCAGAACCAGGCTCAATATGGTGGTCTTCTGCCATGAGATGAGACGGGGAACGCAGTAAGAGTCAAGAAGGAATGACATTCTGATGAAGCTTTAGCTACGATGGTGGAGGAAGAGCTGGAGGTGGGTTGAAACGGTGTCATCTGAATGAAGTCACACAGTGCATCCACTGCCTGCGCACAGGAGCATTCAAGTGGATCGGAGGCCTTTTAAGATGAACTTTGGATGCCAATTGGCTTTCGTGGAGGTGTGGTTCAAAGCTGATTGGCTGTGTCACAGGTGGATGTAAGAGAGCAATCAGTTTCTTCAGTTGAACTTCTGCCTAGGCTCCATTTTAATTAATCAATGTGTTACTGTGTTTTACAAACCAACACTTTCCTTACCTAAATCCCACATACATATCTATGGAATATTATCAAGAGGAAGATAGTATACCAGAAAAAAACTTAGCACATTATCTGAGAGGTGTAGCTCAGGAAACCTGGGCTTCCCAATAACCTCAGCAAAGCTATAGGCTGATTGCCTCCATGCCACGCTGCAGTTATTTCTTCAAAAGCTGCCTAGACCAAGTACTGTCATGCTTTTCATCAGTGTGCAACTTCTTCCTTTAAACATTTTTATTAGGATTTTGCAGTATCTAAATATTTTTGAGAAAATCAATTTGAGATGACAGAAAGAAAAAACTCTAAATATCTCTCTGTGTGCTTTTTATCAATTATTTAGAATATGAGTATACATTTTTGAATAAAAAGACTAAAATAAAATACATTTTGTAAATGAATAAAATGTAAATTTATCTGCTTTAAATAAATTAAAAAATCCATGCAGCAAATGAAAACCAACAATTTTAAGACAAATACAAAAAGATGTTTCAATTTGTCACATGTGGAAGTTTCATATAGACAAACGCCCACACAGGTGACATATAAATAACATGCAGTTTGAGAAACGGTATGTGATCCATGCCACAGGCAATTCATCAGCTACATAGCAAGCATTGTGGGAAATCTGACTCAGACTTAGAATTACATTGCAGAGAGTTATGCATATTTTGGACCAATGGAGCACTGATTTATTATTATTCATGTTCGCTCTGTAATTAGACCTGTTGGTGGCCCTTGGCTGCTTGATTCTGTGCTCCCCTCGTCATACTGTTCCTTACTGCCTGCTGAGCAGTTCTCCTTCATTCCCACCCGCAGCCACCTTGCTTCCTATAGCTGTGGAAGGAGTGTAATTACAGCCGTATGAACCCTTTTGGTTGTTGGTGTGTGTGTGTCTGTGTGTGAATGTGTTTGAATCTACGTGAGCAAGACCTTATGTCTAAGCTCTGATACTACCCACACCTGTTCAACATCGACATCATGAAAGGACCACATGGAGGGCTAACTCTACCAGCACTGATTTAGTGTGAAACAAGAAAACTGAAAGATTGTGAAATAACATTTTATCATTAGAGTTTCTGTCTACACTGCTTACATCATTATATGTCATTTTGTGCATATACCAAATAGGTTTCTTACATTACCCCTCTGTAAATGTATATAAGTGTGCTAATATATCTGTTCTCCACTCTTGAAAGTCCAAAAACTGATCCAGGTTTTATAAAATAGCAACATTTCAGCCTGGCTTATGGACTCAGGAAGACAGCATTCCACTACCTGGCTAATTTCTACATTACAATACAATATCATTGCATTATGTTATATAATACAGTAAAGCATGATTTGATTTGATTGTATACGATATCATACAATCCATTGCTATATAGTGTAAAATAATGGAGCACAATACAACGTAACAAAATATATTGTGGTACAAAATTATGCAATAGACTTTAATGACATACAATACAGGCAAATATATAAAACCCAGTCTGAAATACCTGTCTGAAATAAAATGATGGGTATAACAATATGAAATAAAATACAACACGTCATGTTGTTTAAAGAGATAAATATAAATTTCCCCCGATGTTTTAATCTATAGTTCTTTTTTTTTTATAAACTCTGTATTCCTTAAATTGTAAGTGGTTTGTCATGTGTAGAAACCTCCACACACGACAAACCACACATGGGAACTTAACTTGTTTAAACTCCAGAGAAAGTTATTGAGCTGATGGGAAACAATAAACCAGTCACAATTATTGGAAGCTTTGTAGCAGGGTAGGGTTATTTTTTATGCTAAAAATGCCCTTAATATAAAGGAATACGGTCATGTAAAACCCAACAGTAATCTCTTGTGAGTCCATCATCTTGACCAGGGATAAATACAAAAGGACTTTCTAATTCTCTTTTTGGAAGTAAACTAGTAATTCCTCAGGTTTAATTTATGCTGGTGAATTTCATGTTTTTAATATTCTTGCAGTTTCCTGCTTACATATTCCACAGCCGTGGATAAACATTAACATTCATCCACAGCCTTGCACCTCTGGCCACCTGATAAATGAAGGCACAGTGCTCATTCCGCCTTTTACCCTTTAAGTGTCCACCAGCATCAAAGAGTAAGTAAAAAGCCATGGAATGTCCTCTAAATTTAACCAGGGGCAACTTCTTACATTTTTTTTTTGTACCAAAGTAAATTACGAGGGGCAGCAGTGCTGTTGTATGTTATGAACTGAATAAACAAATAGAAACTCAAAAGCTTCTCACTCACAATACCATGGTGGTTCTGCAATTATTTTAGCAAGGATCTGAGTGCTCTCTCTCTCTCTCTCTCAGAATGCTGTGACATAACAGGACAATGTATTGAGAGATGGAGAGAGGAAGAGCTGCTGCTGGCGTTTCCTGTTTTCGTAAAAAAGGGGTATGAAAAAGACGAAGCACTCTGGGAAGTTTAACATCTATTTTTTGTGCAGCCTAGAAGCATTTCATGCATCTTACTTTGAAGTGAACATCTGTCAAGTTACACACTCCAAATTTGCAAAGGAGAAAAATACTGGAAATAAACATTTCCCAAATGATTGCATCTATCAGAGGAATGTCTTTCTGTATTTCAATGTTTTTTAAGGGCAGTCATTCCATCAAGTAGTTAACAAATATACATCAATATATAAAGGACTGTGGGATTCATTTTTGCTAAGAAAGGAATATCATAAGGTTCCTATGCTAAAGGAAGTATGGTAGGAAGCATAGAGGCTCCTTTTTCTACCCCCTTCCCAGTGGCACGGGAAGGGGGGTGCTGCGGGGGCTGCAGCCTCCCTCGCCATAGCATCAGCCCCCCATGGTGGGGGGCTGTGGAGTAACATAATATTGTACTTAAACACATGAAATTATTTATGTATTTATTTTTTTAAATACTGTGTGTGATATGGGATTAAAATGATGGGCTGTGTATACGATATAAACTAATGATTCATTATTTTTATATTTCATAAAAAACTAGGCTACTCCCCCGGAAGTGCTTCCGCCACTTCACATTCGTTTAGGCATGGCTAGCAATAGGCAGCAGAAACGTATTTCTGACTATTTAGAGGTGAGAAATGGTTTTAATTCCCCTATACGCTAGAATAAGGCTGCATATCACTAAATATTATGTCTGTATTAAGCTATTAAGTGATAAAATATGAAATTAGT